AAGGATAAAGAATTGTCAGAAATTTCCCAAGTATATTTCAGAGCCGGGTGAAAAGAATTGACTGCAGTTATGAATTGAGTGAGCTCCTCTCTGGTAGAGGAGGTAGCGCCGATACAGTCGTCGATGTAGCGACCGTAGAGTTCAGGTTTGGACCCGTTGTATTGGCTGAAAAATTGATGTTCGACAAAACCTACAAAAAGATTGGCATAGCTAGGTCCCATTTTGGTGCCCATGGCTACACCATTGGTTTGTTTGAAGAAGTTGTTTCCGAATGAAAAACAATTGAGTGTGAGCACTAGTTCGGCTAAGCGTAGTAGTGTTTCAGATTTAGGTTCCTTAACAGTACGTTGATCAAAAAAATGTTTAAGGGCCAGAAGGCCTTCGCCATTAGGAATGACAGTGTAAAGAGACGTAATATCCATGGTGAAAAGAAGTTTGTTTTGGCCAAGGAAATTAAAGTCTCGAAAAATTTGAAGAGCGTGTTGGCTGTCTTTAATATATGATGGTAAAGTTTTGACGATGGGAGCCATAATTTTGTCTAGATAGCTGGAGATAAGTTCGGTAGGGCAACTGCAAGCCGAGACAATGGGCCGACCCGGGTTGTTAGGTTTGTGAATTTTAGGTAAAAAGTAAATACGAGAAGTTCTAGGAGTGGTTATGATGAGATTTTTTGCTGTGGCCGGCAATTCTTGTTTAGTTATCAGTTGGTTGATCGTATTCTTGACGGAGTTTTGATTGCTGGTAGTGAGGTCTTTGTCGACCTTTTGATGAACAGAGGTGTCAGAAAGTTGCCGCAAAGCTTCTTTTTGGTAGAGGTCGGTGCGCCAAACAACGACTGAGCCGCCCTTATCGTCCTTATTGTCTGACTGTTTGACGGTCAGTCGGTCTTCGATTCGTCTGTAAGTCATTCTGTCAGTCTGTCCGCCTGTCGCAAAAAAGCTTGGATCGCAAATTATTTGGGGGTTTTTGAAAAAGTCAATTCTAGAGGCAATAATTTAATCAGGGTTTTTGATTGTTCTTTAAGACTTTTCAAAAAGGATTCATATAAAAAAACAAGTTTCAAAGTAAATTTTCAAGTATTGAAAAAATACATATAAGATGGTCCCTTATCGGCCTCCGTTTGGTATAAAGCCGCGGTTGTCTCCTGTCGTAAATCAGATCTTTTCTTTCATAGCAGGCAAATCGAAAAATTCCTAAAGTACAAGAGAATAAAAACTTATCAAAATTTGTGTTCCTTCAGTTCCTGTAGCATTTCTCAGCTGGATCATGCAGTTCTCGTCGTTGGTTATGGAACTTACCAAGGACAGGACTACTGGCTGGTAAAGAACTCCTGGGGAAAGAGCTGGGGAATGGAAGGTTACATTATGATGTCTAGAAACAAAAACAACCAGTGTGGAATCGCTTCGAGCGCCAGTTACCCTCTTGTTTAATGGACATGTGTGAAACACTTAAAATATTCGATTTTAGATTTTTTTTATTTTATTTTATTTTCAATTAATTGTATTTTTATTTTCAATAAGAGACCCTCGGAGATATTAATTATCCAAACAATAAAGCTTTTTTTTTCATGTAAAAGCGTGGCATATTCATCTGCACCCTCGTTTCCACCCCAAAACATGACTTTGCCACGAAAAGGCCCTACCGGTTGGACTGATTCCAGACTGGCACTGCTAAACAATCAACGAAGAACCGTTGGCTTAAGTGCGTATTCGTTTTGAAAAGAAACAGAAATAAAATCATGACATAGTCAAACCGTCAGAAGTTAAAGAAAAAGGAATGAACGAGTAAGATGTAAAACAAAAAAGGAAAGGAAAATTACCACGGTTGCGGTTGAGTAGACGTGCTTGATCTGATCTCTCCGGGTTACGGATCTAACCGACGGTCACTTCTCTTGAAGTCCTCCGTGATCTGCCAGAGAGGAGTGAACAATTTTTTTTGCCTTTACTCGGCGTTTCTTAGACTACCGGAGACTTCTCCCTCTTGCACGTGATGCGTGGAAAATTTTCGAGGCCAGCACGCGCAAGTGGTTCTCTTGCGCTTTCACACTCGCGCAGAGTGACTCACCTTTCGCGCTCTCCTCGCTCTCTCCTGAAAAATGCGAAAACAAATCAATTCTGGGAGTGTGGTGCTCCGAAGAAGTAGCCTTCTTTTCCATGCACCTCACTCCCAGAGTTCAACCATAGTAACTATGGTTCTGCGCAACGCACTTTCTACTAGTGCGACGAACTTGATACTCATACTTAGACTTGTTCACAAGTCGCGCTTTTGAGCGTGTAGCGCGACAGTGAGTGCGAAGCGGGAGCGAGCCAAGCCGAGCGAGCGAAATCTCACACGAGAAGAGGAAACCAAGCGAACGACTTTGAGAAATTAAGTCTAACTTCGCCATAAAGGAGGGACTGTTTGTAGTCCATTAGATTACTTACACTTACACGTACGAAACGTAACAAATAAAGAAATAAATAAGTAAAGGGTCGTAAATGAAATTTTGTTATTTGCCCCATTTTAAGCCTCCTTACTTATTTGACAACGCTTGAGGTTTTGCTTTATATTGGTGTAGTGTCACGCATGGGCGAACACATTTCTTTAAAGGTTTGAGAGAGATCTGGATCCAGCTTCAATAACGGATGGAAAATTATGGCGCTCGATGGTCAAGTGACCTTTTTGTCAACAGAATTGTCACGGGATTCCCGGAGACCAAGAACTCCCAGGAGAAGCCCAAGGTTTAGAATGAACGAGGAAGAAGAAGAAGAAAGTGGAAACGAAAGAAATCCGTCAAATATGGGGATGACAGCACCGATTATTGGTTATGAAATAGTAGATAATCGACAGAAATTCACGGTACGTTTGGGCATGTAACCTTAATTTTGGTTTATATTGCTTTGTCTTTCATTTGTATTCTTGGTAGATTAGTTTGCTTGATTAAGTTTAGTAGGCTCAGATCTGTGATCTATAAAAGTACTGGAAGCGTCGTTTCGGCACTAGCTATTTTCTACAGAATCTGATTGTTTTCATTTCTTGTAACTAAACTCGTGACCCTATGATCAGCTTTGATTTAATTTATGCAAATAATGAAAACTTTCATACGATTACCAGACAAAAAGTTCGAACTTGTAAAAGCGATTGATGTTATTGCTATAAGACTTCGTTTGTTTGTCAAAACTATAGTGGAAGATTATGATATAAAATGGATGTGAGCTTATGTTTTCACTGTACACTTGATATATATTGCAAATTAATACGCGCGTACGTTGATATTTTTTTAACGATGCAACTTCCTCAAATATTTGAAAAATGAAATAAGCTTTGGTTCAAGTAGTCTTCGTTAAAGTACACCTATGTTTTGATTGTCAACAGGGGCAGTATCTTTTTACAAATAATAGAGATCATCAAGTTTCTTCTTTACCTTACATTCTGTAAGCTTACTTAAGTTTGAAACTGATTTGGGTAATTTAAAGGCAAATACATGTGTTTTGCTGGTAATAGATAAGAGTCTTAACAGGGGTGCCCTTATGGTGCCTGTTACATTTACACCTTGTGAGATAATTTTTGTTTTATAGTCCACAATTTGCAAACCTTTTGATCTAGGGTGAAAAATTCTGGCGAATCAACATGGCACCAGCCTTTTTAGAACAGCACTACTGGCTCATTTATAGGCTTTCCCTTCCTCTTAAGCTCACTGCTCATCTGAAAGATGACACTTAAAATGAGCCCAATGTAAGAGGATGTCAACTTGACAGTCTGATGCTGTGTCAGATCCCCTCTAAGAGAAATCCAATCCAATTATGAATTATCCAGTAGAACCACTTAAGAAATCATTAAGTTGCCAGTATAGTATGAACAATCACTGGAAAAGTCTCCAATCTTTTCAATATTTTGTTACATGCATAGATCTTAACATCTCATTAATTTTACAAAATACCCAAAACTAGTAGATTTTTCATTGTGTCCAGTCCATCATATCAACAATTTTTTATGATTAGTTCAAAGACACATTTTTTTTTATTTTTTATTTTCACCAGGTTTACAAAATTGAAGTTAAAAGTCAGAATAAAAGTTGGTTTGTTTTTCGCCGTTACACTGATTTCACAAGGCTAAATGATAGGGTAAGTTATGGGGTGAACCTTTTATACCTCAATGCATTAAAACCCATATTCTCCATACTCGTCTCTATACATGTCCTTTGGATACTGACAAGGAGAATTGTTTAATGATCAAAGCTTCTTAGGCGGGGGATCATTTCCTTTATTCTTATGTTCTTAAGGAGTGATTCAGCAGTATTACTGTAGAGAGAATTTAGATGCTGATCACCCGTAGAGTTTAAAGGGTAAGGGATTTGAAATCATAGCTCACAGATGACAAACTGAGCGTGTCAGTCAACAGTGAATTAAAATGTGTGGGCTTGCTTCTCTTATAGAAATATCTAGGGCAGATCCAGGATTTAGTCAAGGGGGGTTTGGAGAATTGTCTGAGGTCATGCTCCCCCTGGAGATTTTGAAAATCAGGTCTTCTGAAACATTATTTCCAGCATTTTGAGGGAAAATTAAGGGGGTTAGACCGAACCACCCCTGGATCCACCTCAGAATATAAGCTGGCTACGAACACAGTGCCTCTTGAAAATCTTACCACATTTCAGATGTTATGATATACATTATTCAAAATTACTTAGTTATGATTGGCTGATTGATTGTGTAGCAGAATTCAAATGCAATTTGGAGATTGCTACAAATTGGATCAGATCCATTCTATAGGAAATCAATAAGATCCAATACAATTTGGGTGGTGGATAAGCTGCACCATACCAAAGCATTATCATAGTCAGGTTCAGAGGGAACAAATGTTTTCAGATCCTTGCAAATTGTAATTGATTTGTTGCAAAGAACAAGTTATCAAAAGAAAGAACTGCTTGCTGAAACTGTTGGGGAACACTTAACTATGATTAAAGATGTTAGATACTTTTGTTATTTATTTATTTTTTTGTTGTTGTTATTTACAGTTGAGAGATGCTTTTCCAGAATTTCAAATCAGGCTCCCTGGCAAACGCTGGTTCAAGGACAATTTTGATCCAGGTATAGCAGATCCTGAGAATCCAAAATTATGAATAATTTTTTAATGTATAGCTTTATTGTAAGGTGCTTAGAATATAAATGTTATGTTTAAATTCCATACAACCAAATTTTTGAATACTAACAAAGTAAACAAAACTCAGTCTAGTTATTTCAAAATTATGTGACCCTCACTGAGATTTTGTATAGGTGTGGGTAGCTTCCAAAATTTGCTTATTTTGCAAGTATCTGCCCAGTTCTTGATGTGTCCACTCAGTTACTGCAAAAAAGATATCTACAGGGCCCAGTTGTTCAAAGGTTGGATAAAATCCAATACTGCTATCCGAAATTTAAATTGCAATGTCATTAAATTATATTTCAATATCCACCAGATAGAGATATATCTATTGGACAGCATTACCTACTCTGTAAATAACTGGAGCTAGATCTATACATTTATATTCATGCAGTCTGTAGATAACTTCACTCTTTAACTCCCGAGATTTAGTTGTTAATTCTCTCCTTGAGCTGCTAGACATTTCCCTGTAAAATTTTTGGTTTTGAGAATTTGGTGTTAGATCAAGATAGCAACTTCTGCCGGATAAGTTTGAGTATTCCAGGAGAAGTTACATGTTAATCACTACTGGGAGTTCAAGGGTTTTGTAAAAGCTATGAACATGAGATGATGATTAAGTCAGAGTACATAGAGAAAAACTGCTTTCTTGTTGTTAGGACCAGTGGTACCTTTTCTTAAGATTCAGAGGTTATGAAGAGAAAAACTTTTAAATGTTATATATTTTATTTGCTTGCAGAATTCATAGAAGAGAGAGCAAGAGGATTACAATTTTTCATTAACAATATTATGAATCACTCTGACATATGCAACAGGTATTGTTGAACAAGACGTGGTGAAATAATAATGTCTTGGTTAATTACTATTGCCACTGGTAAGGTAATATGAAAAATCTTTCTGGTCATAGAAATGTTTATGTTCATTTTGAATTGTAGAAAATTGAAATTTTGCCCAAAAAAAGTTTGCATAAATCAACTTACAACATCTGAAATTTTTAAAGCAGTTGCACAGTGGAGGACTTGGCAACTGTGAATGTAACAGTCTTAGGTGGTGGGAAAGGGTGATTTTAGAAAAAAATTGAGTTTTTTTTTTTTTTGGATATTAATGTTTTTCCCTCTGGCTTTCTGCTCTTTAGTGGTATCTGTAACTTCTCTTGGTTTGCACGAGTGGGTGTGTCCATGGTATGAGACCCTATTTATCCTGTGTTTGTATATATACAATGAGTGGCTGCTCTAGCCTCCTCTGTGGTTAATACAGTTGGCCTGACCTCCTGACTTTGTCACTGTAAAATACACTGCAATTATTTGACAACTGTTATGGGTACAATAAAGTCAAGGTCAGTTTTCTTATCTCATATATAATACCATTACTAGAAGAAGAGGTACTGAGATAAGATGATTATTTATAATAATTATTATAACCAACAAAGTTGTTGTTTGCAGTCATGAGGTACAAGAGTTCTTCTGCCTTAATGATCCTCCTGGACCTTATGACAGCTTGGAAGAAAGCAGAGTGAGTTGGAATGACTAAAGACTTTGATAGGACTTTATTGACAAGTCAATTTGTAGCAAAAACAAGATGCTGACACATAAGTAGTGTCACACATTTTTTCAATAAGGAAATGGCTCACTCTGTCTAGTGAAACAATAATTGTGCAGTCTTTGTTGCTTATTGAAAAGTATTAATTTTGAAGATTCAAAAAGAGTGATGCTTTACTAAAAACACTTTAATTCAATCTTAATTTAATTTAATTTATTAGATTCATCAACAGGCAGGGACACCGCAACAGCTTGCGCCAATTACTGTGGGCCCAGTTAACTCACCCATCCCACCCCAGGGGAGGACATCCACCACACAGTAATCTCATGCATGTGAAATTAACGTCTCCTACCCCTAACCCTGCAGGAGACGGGGCCTACAGTTTATTCGTCCTTATCCGAGAAGACTAGAATATCTATCCATTTCTTGATATTATAGAAAGGTAGCAAATTCTCCTCAGTTATTTTAAGACCATGAGTATTGGTCCGGCAGGGGCTCTAATCCTCGACCTCCCACACAACACAATCCGGCGCTCAAACCAATTGAGCTAACCAGGGGGGTGGTCTTGTAATTGTAGTTGCTTTTGTCCTAAACTTTTGACCCTTTCACTCCGGAGATCTCATCAGTAATTCTCCTAACTGTCTGCCCTACTTTTCCCATGATATTGTTTCTGAGAATTTGGTGTTGCATTAAAAGATAATCCTTTAGCTGATATTTTTCCAAAATCTTATCACCTGATTGCTTGAATATTGTATTGTTGTAAGGAGAAATTAGTTCCAGGTCACTCCTGGTAGTGAAAGGTTTAAGTTCTCTGTTGGGATGTTTTTATTAGGCCTACTGTCAACACTTGGAAAACCAAGCTGAGGACTTGAAACAGAAGGTGGATGAACTAACAGCAGACCTCAAAATGACAAAATCGCAGCTCCTGCAGGCACGAGTACAACAGGAAGCTCTTATAAGTGCTCTTAGATCAGAGCGAACACTGAGAAAGAAAGGATTCAAAGGAAATGGAAAAGATTCTTCTAGGACTGATGAATTGATAGAGAAAAGTGAAAAAATGGCACATGCTGATGGTCTGAAAGGAAAAGTTTTCCACTTGATGTCAGATTATCAAATCAAAAGCAAGGGAAGGATGTCAAGTACCTCTGAAAATGATACTGAACCTGGAGAAGATCATTCACAACCATTTTGGGTGGGAAGTGTGGAGATTGCAGAGCATTCAGATGGAGCTGATAGAATGATGTCCTCTAATCTGGCCAGGCGGCTTTCAACTGAGCAGAGAAATCCTCGCACATCTACTCCTGTGTCTAGTTCAAGTCATGACAGTCCAAGCTGTCTGGAACCTTTGCAACAAGATAGTAAAAAAGAACTTGGAGTATCTCAACAAACTGGTGAAAATACTGAAAACTCAGAGGTGTTGCAGATAAGTAATGAGAAAGGGACAAAAAGGGAAACAAATAATGTTGAGGGAACTTCCACAAATCCATCAAACAGAAAGTCAAGTACTTCCTCCCGTAAGAGAGACAGTGGGATAAGTGTTGATGCCTCACCAACACCTAGCACGTAAATTAATTATTTTTTAGATAGATTGTAAGTATGCAGTGATTTTCATGGATTTCTCATAGATTGTTTATTTTAAAGTCAACGCTTCCGAAAAGTCTGCTTGGAATTTCATGAATCTGTTCTGAAGAGGTCTGTAGTGGAGTGTTAAGTGTAATTCTGCCATTTAATCTGCCCCAAATGGAGTTAAAATGAGAAAAGTTAAGAATTACTCCTGTTAGTTATCTTTGCTTCTGGAATGATTTTTTTTGTGTGTGGAATTGTGATTGTTTTTCTTTTGAGGGAAACTGAAATTTTCTTGTTTACTTTGTTTTGTTTCTGTACAAAGCAGTTTATAGAAAAAAGACCTTTAATCAATTTTGGTATTTTTGGGAGAGATAACTGAACAACTTTCAATAAACTCTCACGGGGCTGACCAACATATAAATATTGAATGCCTAAGTTTTGGCCGACAAAAAATTTTAAATGCTGTTCTCAAGCTTACAAGTTGCCCAACACTTGTTAGACTTCGGATCTGCCATAGTACATAGGCTTCTTAAGGATAGGCTTAATTCTTAAGTTCAGTTGCAATCAGTTGAAGTCTTTAAAAAAGACACACCTGCCCTGCTTATCTAATTAACATCAATCAGCCAATGACCTAGAACTGCTCTGGCTGCTCATTTTTCACATCAGATTGTAAACAATTGAAATGATTCACAGTAGTGTTGGTTTTGCCCTTAACCTGAGATTTGTGTTTAACGATGCCT